AAAAAAAAAAAAAAAAAAAAAAAAAAAAAAAAAAAAAAAAAAAAGACAAAGAAAAAGAAAAGGAAAAGAAGAGCAATACAGGCTCTCCAAGAACAAGAGGACCCAACCACACAAAGACCCCAAAATATGAAAGAATAGCCACAGCCACAAGGAGCAAGACACCAAACCCAACCAACAGCGCCAAAAGATCAGTCAATGAAAAGCTACCATACTAAAGAGCCAATAACCGAAAGCAGGAAGACCACCAATGAGGCCATCAAAAGGAAATTCCATGTAATAAAAATGAAGTAGAAGAGAATGAACGAAGGACGATGAACTTGGCCTAGAAGGGCCAAAGAAGCTCTTGGATCCATAACAATAGTTTAGGAGGGATCAATTGAAGCAGGGAGGGGCCTCCAGACCAGAATGCCCCTCATCAATCAAAGAACAAAGACTGCCTTCATATCCGTAAGAAGATTTTCTGAAACAATATTGCAATGTATATGCTAAGGAAGGCCTTGTTTAGAACCTCATCTCCTTCATCCACTGAAACTTGTTTTAAATTTGCATGCCTTGGTCACATAGCAATGAATGAGGCTTCTTGGAAACTTGAGACCCATTTAAATGTTCTAGGTCATCCTTACATGCACTTGACAACATAATCTAAATAATATAGCCTCTTGGAAAGACCATCCATGCGAACCAATGAATCAAAATAACTCACCTCATTAAATGAAGAGATCCACATCAATACTTACCATGCACAAGCACATTTATTTCAGAAATTAAACGTACAGATAATTAAGTATCCTGCATAATAGCCAAAACAGATACATGACATTCATTTAACTGCCAAATTCAAATTCTTTTCATTAATGCATGAAGGTTAAGGTAACCTACGGGAAAATTTCAAGTACCACGGCAGGAAAGGTTCCATACTACTATTCATTGCTAGCCATAAAAAAAGCATTTAATAATTGTGTGCACCCATAGAGTAAAATAACATCATCTAATGACCCGTCAGATGCTGAATAGTAGTATATACTTGAATAGTACTATATACTCTGTGTAGTACTAGAAATTTTTTGGATCACCTACCTCCGGATCACCTATATACAAGAGGCAGAGAGGCTTTGTGCACTTCCAAGACAGAATTAAAAGCTTCAATAGCCACTTAAAATCGAAATGATAACCGACAATCCCTTTTTTCTACGCTTTGGCATGTTTAAATCGAGGTGGATGCCTCTTCTATATGCCTCTTAATCCCCTATACCAAAAGCCGTGCCTCAAAGTTGATAGTGACCTTTGTGGATAATGCCTCAAAACCTTTGTTAACTATTGAATATTGTGGTATTTACGAAAAAGTGCATTGGTTATGCAGGATATTGAACAAGCTAACACCAGAAAAGTTCGATCTCCTTAAGGGTCAGCTAATTGACTCTGGAATCACCTCCGCTGATATTTTGAAGGTTATCTTCATCCACTCGCTTGATTCAAGAATGATGCTACTTTTTCCCCCCATCTCACTTTGCTTGCAATGCAGGATGTCATTTCACTTATTTTTGACAAGGCCGTTCTTGAACCCACATTCTGCCCCATGTATGCTCAATTATGTTCCGATCTGAATCAGAAGCTACCACAATTTCCGTCTGATGAACCTGGTGGTAGAGAAGTTACTTTTAAACGAGTCCTCTTAAATATCTGTCAGGAGGCTTTTGAAGGTGCTGACAAGTTGAGGGAAGAGCTTAGGCAGATGACTGCCCCTGAGCAAGAGAGCGAACGCAGGGATAAAGATAGACTTTTGAAACTTCGTACTCTTGGAAATATTCGATTAATTGGAGAGCTTCTGAAGCAAAAGATGGTGCCTGAGAAAATCGTCCACCACATTGTGCAGGTCTTTATTTGATGTCCATCTGAATTATTGCTGATTGTTTCACCCTTCCTTTAAATTTTTTAAAATGCTGCCTTTTCTGATAGCTTGTGTTCTGTTCAGGAACTTTTAGGACCAGATAACAAATCTTGTCCTGCAGAAGAAAATGTTGAGGCCATCTGTCAATTCTTTAACACCATAGGTAAGCAGCTAGACGAGAACACGAAGTCACGACGTATAAATGACATGTACTTTGGCCGATTGAAAGAACTGACCACACACACTCAGTTGGCCCCACGACTGAAGTTCATGGTTCGTGATGTTCTTGATTTGCGTGCCAACAATTGGGTTCCTAGGCGTGAAGAGGTAGACCCTTGTACTCTCTCTCTCTCTCTTTGGTTGGTCGAACAAATTTTTGGATTTTTGTTCTAATGCCTTCAACCTTTTCTTCCTACAGGTTAAAGCCAAAACTATTACTGAAATACATACAGAGGCAGAAAAAAATCTGGGACTACGTCCTGGTGCTACTGTTAATATGAGAAATAATCGTGGCGTTGTGTCTGGTTCTCCTGGGAACACCAGCCCTGGGGGCTTTCCTATCAATCGACCTGGTTTTGGGGGTATGATGCCTGGCATGCCAGGAACTAGGAAGATGCCTGGTATGCCAGGCATGGATAATGACAATTGGGAGGTACATAGGACCCGACCTATACCAAGGGGGGCAGATGGATCTGGGCGTGGCTCAGCATCGTTCGTTGGCAAAGGATCCGCGTTGAATGCAAGGCTACTTCCCCAGGGTACTGGTGGGCTTATTAGTAATAAGAATAGTGCTCTATTGCAGGGTGCAGGTGCATCTACTACTCGTCCTGTTAACTTTGGTCATGGGTTAGAGCCCTCTGGTCAGGTTCATAAACCTATTGCCGCAGCAACAGTTCCTCCACCTGCAGAGCGACCACAGGTTCCAGCTGCATCTTTAAAACAAGATGACCTCAGAAAGAAAACTCACTCTCTTCTTGAAGAATATTTCAGTATCCGGATTTTGGATGAAGCTTTACAGTGCGTGGAAGAACTCATGTCACCAGCTTACCACCCTGAGGTTGTAAAAGAAGCCATTTCCTTGGCCCTAGAGAAAAGCCCACCATGTGTTGAAGCAGTTGTAAAGTTTCTGGACTACTTACTCTCCAGGAAGGTTTTTACAGCTAGTGACATTGGGACTGGATGCTTGCTTTATGCTTCCATGCTCGATGACGCAGGCATTGATTTACCAAAAGCACCCATCAATTTTGGTGAGATAATTGGGAAACTTGTTATATCTGGTGGTTTGGATTTTCAGGTGGTGAAAGAGGCCATTAAGAAGGTGGAAGACGACAGGTTTAGGAAAGATATATTTGATGCTGTTTTGAAGACGATTAGTTCCAATGTGTCTGGACAAGGATTATTGGACTCGTTGGCATCCGATATCGAAGGCTGTCGAAATCTGGCATATTAAGGTGAATCTTACTGCTTCAAGCTTTCTAGTTACAAACATCAAATGAAACTTCTCGTCCTTGGTTTTGATGCGGCGCTCCCCTCCTTCCTCATGTGACATACAACATGTATTTCATTATCTGATATGGTGGCTACAAAGAACAGGTAATTTTAATTGAGTTGTATATTGTTTTTTCGGAGTCTGTAGCATGTCTATTGAGAGTGAAAAAATGAACCCCCCGCAATGCCATGGATTTTGCTCTCCAAGCATGGCTAAATCATATGGCTGAATAACTCAAAAAGAGCGTTCCCTTCAAGGGATCCTGTCTTCCTTTTATTTTTCTTTTTCTTTCTGAATATGTTTTTTTATTAAAAAAAAATTGTTAAATCATGTTATTTTTTATTTTATTGTTTCTTTGGGACTTGTTGGCTGTTAAATTGGGCTAGTTAATGATAAACTACTTGGTTTTGCCTTCTTCTACACTTCCCTTTGCAAAGAGCATTAAATTCTCAGTTGAAATAGACAAGGAGAAGTACATGTGATGTGATGGTTGCAGATTTTCTTATTTGACGACAATGCCTTGGAATGTACTTTATCATTTATTGCTTCACCATATTTTAATTAAACAATTTACATTAAAATAGTAGGCCTACAATCAAAAATTAAAAATAAGCATTTCAAAATGTATGGACTAAAAATAAAAATTATTTTTAGTTTAGTCTTTAACTTGTTCTTAATTTTGTGATTAATTGATTTTTAAAGTTTTATATTTTTATTAATAAAGATTAATTTATAGTTGAACCTAAAAAAACAGATCCTAACTAACAAAACTACCGCTAATTTTTTATATAAATATTTAGAAGATATCCATAATTGAATAATGGTGAAAATACACGGATCTCACCAACTACTATGAAGACGTTCAATTTCAGATGAACTCAACGAAGCTTATTACAAGAACTAAGAAAATCTTGATTTTCCGGGAAACTGTTTCTGAAAGGAAAATTCCGACGACTTCCATTGTTAAAACGCGCGAAATTAGAAACGAAAATCTGAACTTAATCTTCATTATAGTCTGAATCTATGCGATTACACATTATACCTCGATTCTCGGATCCTCGAATTCGATTTTCCCTGTTCCAATAGCCCTAATTTCTCTCTCACCATGTTGTCTGGCTTATCATGGCGATGATTCGAGTTCTTTCACCGGAGTACTCCGCCGGAATATCCTTCATCCATCGGAGCATCGGTGGGCGGATAAACACACCGGATCCTCTTCGGCCATGAAGATCAGTATCAAAAGAAGGTTTACAGATGGTTACCAGTAGATCGTCGTCTGGCCGAATGTCGTTCTATGAATGATTCGTCCTACGAACCCTTCTAACATTAGCCTCGTTTCTGTTTTTTCTTCCTTCAATGGAGCTCCCATTCCTGCAAAGAATCTCCATGGTAGGTCTTCAACATCACCAAAGTCTACTGCTAATGGCGTCCTTCTCCTCGCCTCTTAACTCAACTCCATGTTCGATCACACAGATAAAGGCACTTCCAATCTTCCCCAACGAAACAATCAATGGAGGCCTCTTTTTCTCAGAGGCACAACTTCCTCTGCCTCGCAATCAAAGAGGCGAAAACAGTAGCAATGCGCTTCCCCTTCGTGATCTCGATGAACTCGCCAATAAAATCGCCCTCCGACGCTTGCCGAAGACGCGACTGGCAAGGCGCTCCCGGCATTCCCAAGGTTCTAATTCCGTCCGAACATTTTCTTCGCGATTATCTCATCGTAACCTTCTGTTTATTCGAATTTGAGATGAGATGAGATGAGATGAGATGAGATGATTGGGAATGTTCCTTCATTTTTTTGTTGTCTAATGGCTTCTGTTGCAGATGAAAGAAATGGAACAGAATTAGGGCAACTGAATAAGGTAAGGAATTATAGCTTTTGTCTTCTAAAGTGAGTTACCTGAATTTTGCAAAACAAGATTTGCCGTCTTTTCTTCTTCAATTCATCGCACTTTATTCTTCTTCACCCTTTCCCTTCAAGAACCCTATCGCTTTGGAATCATATTAAACAAGTAATTAATTTTTTTGCTTCTTTTTCAGTTTTAACAAGGTGGACACTAAGTGGATAGTGGCATCATGGCCACTTATTTTGTCACGAATTTATGTCGTCTATAGAGGATTCTGCCTGTCGCTGGGTGAAGATTGTGCAGCCCTTGAGAGTGAAGATTACGGTACAATGCAGCCCACGAGACTCGTCTATCAAAAGGGCGTTAGGTGAGAATTACGGTACAATGCAGTCCTCGAGACTCATCCATCAAGAAGGCACTGGGTGAAGATTACGGTACAATGCAGCCCTTGAGACTCATCCATCAAGAGGGCGCTCGGTGAAGATTACGGTACAATACAGCCCTTGAGACTCATTGAGGACATGTCTTCGAGCACCAAAAAGCCTCTACTGCTGGTTGACAATCAGCTTAGGGGCGTTCAATCATAATCAATGCAGGTAGCACTAATTGTGATGAATCTTTGTGACTAGGCTATCTTTGGTAACCATACAAACACACTTTCTATCATATAATTCTTTTCATCTTCATTATCTCTCCACTTAAGTTTCCTTTACATTCTGTCTACACATCTTTTATTTTGCACCACCATTATGTGAATATTCTTTTCTTCGTAGTTAATACATCAAATTCAAGTTTTTATTTCTTGGTGATGAGTTGATTTCTTATTTTAATGTTATATTTTAGGAATATCATGTTAGTGATACAATATTCCTAGAATTTAAGAACAATGCAAGAAGAAATTACAAAAGGAACTTCATTTTAAGCCACACATTCAATTTTTAAGAGGTAAGTTTTGAATTCTTTTGTGAAAGAAAAGGAAGAAAAAGATGATTTGAGTATATATTCTTATCCAATTATGTCTGTCTGTGAGCTATACACCTTTATAGGGGGCCACTATTGTTTCTTTTTAGTGGTTAAAAACATGTATGCCCCCCTCCATTGCTCGTTAGATTGAATTTGAACACCAAAAATCAATCAAACATGAGAAAAGGACCATTCCTTTTGCTCCTCATCTCCCTTCTTTGCCTCTGTCTCCTTCCATTTTGTCTATCTGAAGCCCATTTCACCAACAAAGCTTATGATCCTTACAAGCACCTGAAGCAGGGGAGGCCCAGAAAAGGTAACAAATCTAACAGTCTTTTGAATCTTGCACTTGAAAAACAGTGTGTAAGAACTGCTTTCTTGTGTTGCTGCATCTGCAGATTTGCAGGACAGTAAGCAGATAAACGTTGGAGCTGCAACGAAGGTGATGAGAGCAAGAGGAGTTTATGGCGGGGGGAACGACATTCATAGGGGGCACTCGAAGAATGATGCTAACCCTTTACGGATCAAATCAACTTCTTCGTTGCTGTGGGATGTTTCATGTGGCTTCTTTAGTTTATGTGTTCTTCTTACAGGTCTGTAAGTGTTGGCTCTGTTGTAGCAGCAGCAGAGCAGTCGAGTGTTATATTCTGTAATGCTTTGGACCTTGTTCATGGGCAATGTTAGTATTCGATAACTCGACTTTGAAGCTTCATACCGCTTGATTCTCCGCATTTTCTTCTTCGTAGACCAGAATCTTGTTCTTTCAAATCTGTTTAGCAAGCTTTAGTGGTTTAATCGATTGATCTTAGTGAAAATTTCCCCGTCGCAACGGATAGAAATTTTCTTCATGTACAGAAGGCAATTTGGTTCCATGTAGAAAGAATCAGAGCTTAGCCAACTAGAGAAGAACTAGACAACAGATTGAAGGATTGCCACTTCGATTCTTCATCATCATTCTTTGTTTAAATTTTAATACATGTACAAATAGTAGAGTTCTAAGTGACACTAGAGATAGAAATGAGCTCAAACCCGTAAAGCAACCTGGTCTTGCCATGAAATCTTCCTCTTACCAGCTCGACTTGGACCATCTCCAATGCCCCTGCACGCCAAAATCTTTATATCGTTTTGCGGCTCGTCGTTCCCTCCTCGAAGAAGGCTTTTCTTCAACTCAACCGCACTCAATGGCTCGTAACGAGTCTGCAATTCCTCTTCCTCTATCTGAACCAAAGGAACAATAGTTAGGGAGAGGAGGTTGATAGAGTTCAGCAATCATAACATTAGTACCCAAATAAGTCCCCTTAGACAATTACCGAAATTTGGTTCAAATCAAAAAATGGAGTGATGTCTCTCTCACTATACATTCTTTCCTTCTGATTCAAGTCGAAAACGGGCGTCGGATTCTGTTGATTGGCTTTCTTCCTAGAAGAAGTCTTTGCCTTCTGGTTTAAGTCAAGAACAGGAATTGGAGTAGAATTCTGGAGAGGAACACTGAATCCTTTGTCAATTCTTTCCTTTTGGTTTATATCAGAGATAGCCATGACAGGTTGCAAAGCAGGTCTTCTTCTTGCAACATTCTTCCCCTTCTTATTATTATGAAATTGCTTCTGCTGCATTAGATCTCCATTCGAATAATGTTCCTTTGTTGACAATTGGTTGTTCATTAAGTACTCATATCTCTTCCTCAAGAATCTTCAATATAAACGTAGACTCATAGTTAGGCCTAAACAATTCACCAATTCCTGAAGAAGATCAGTACAAATACAATGTAGTAATGTAAAGATTATACCGGACTTCTGCAATCAAGGTCATCTTCTTTTGCTTCATCATCTGCAATTTGCTCTTGACAGTTCCTGTTTCCTGGAAGGAAAACAAAAACTTTCAACTGTTTGTTCATCCATAACATTCCCGAGTCCTAAACCGATCTCTATGTCACAAACTCAGAACTTGAGGGAGGAGGATGATCTAAGATGGGTATTTCAAATTTCAACAAACAATCCATAAATCTTTGTTCTTATATCAATGTTTGTTTGAACAACCAGAAGTCGAGGGCTAAAACATAACCCAAGAAAATAGCCAGTTCAGAACTCGGAAGAATTAGCTTAGCCCAAAGAAAGGTTAAAAAAAAAAATAAAAAAAAAGTTTCCATGATTGAGAGCTAATAGATCAAAACCATCTTTACCTCTTCCAAACCAGAAATTGTATGAAAAAAGAAACAACCCAAATCTCACATGAAATCAATATATGAGAAGATCTGAAAAAAAATATTCAAACATTCATCAAAAGAAAGCCAGATCTGATAGAATCACGAGAGAGAAAACAAACCCCAAATCCGTAGAAGCTTGCAAAAGAAAATTACCTTCTCCAAGACCTGATAATCATGGAGGAGACCGTGATGCTTGAATCTGGCCTTGGGATCCTCATACACAGGGTATTGGGAGAGAGCAGCAGCCCCTTTCATCTTCTTCATAGATGGGAATGAAGGAAGGAAATTAAGAACCCAGATGGGGAGAGAAAGAGGGAGAGAAGAAAGAGAAAAGAGAAATGGATGGGAATTGGTGGGGGAATTGGGAAGGAAGAGAAGGAAGGGGGTGGGGGGTGGGTGAAGGTTCCTGGTTTCCTGTTTTCTCTGTGAAGCTCTGACCGAGCCAACTAAAACCCAAAAAAGCCCACATAACTCGGTGCAAAATATTGTTGTTTTCAGAGACAGTGATGAAGATGTTTGTGAGAGGTGGGTTTGGTTGGAGGACATTAGAAGACATCTCGATATCCATCATCTTCGCTTTCCTTTCCTTTCCTTTCTTTTCTTTCCAACTCTTTCTTCCCTTTTTTGTTTTTCCTTCTACATAAATTCTGGTCCACCTGGGCCATTCAATGCCCCTGGATGCCAACGACAGAGCGACACACAATTTGAATGGCGCAGACTCTTCCCTCTCCTCGATGGGGGTGCGCGCGATCTCTCTCTCTCTCTCTCTCTCCTCCCCCCTTTTCTGCAACGAGAGAAACTTCTAGGGTTCTAGAGAGAGACAGAGACAGAGACAGAGACTGTATTTTGCTTTGAGGGCTCGATCCAGGCCTGTAATGGAAGAAGATCGGATCCAATTCAGGGGCTGGGCTGGTTCTATTGCTTGGGAAGTACCTTATTTTGTAGGGCACCCCCTCCCTCCTCGCTTTTTCATCACAATCTTTTCTTCCTTCGCCATGTTCATAAATCTTAAAGGAGGGAGGATGCCATTGTTATAGCGGGTAGGTCAATTCTTATACAGAATTACTAAACTACCCCTTTTTTTTCCCTCTCTTCTTCCCTTTTTACCCCTCATCTCCAAGCCTCAAACTCAGCTTTTTCGAAGATGGAGAAGGTAAAGGACTAAGTTGTCCAAAGTGCTTAATTAACATTTTACTATGATTAAAAAATAAGCATATTTTAGTGTTTTGAATTATGTTTTGATTAATTATCTTTAATAAAATAATAGATCGGCATACTTAGTGATATCTTATCAGAATCGTGTCTATGTCTAGCCCCGATCATGGGTGAAGGGGGTTCGGGAGATGTTACTTGGTCTTCACCTTACTTCTACTTAGCTCAGTTAATCCCATCTCATTAGAATTAGCTCAGTTCATCCCACCTCATTAGACCAAAACGCAATGTATTACAATCCATCTATTTTGTCAAGTAAGTTTAATTTAAATCTCAACGGAAATAAGTAGTGAAGAAAATTACATAAATAGTTTAATTTAATATTTTATATTTGTTAAAATAAATATTAAGAAACGTGGTCTTTTTTTATTGGTCCGTTCTTTAAGAAGTGTAAGCGGTAGGTGATGTTTGGAAGCGAAAATCTACTAAATAGTTCATAGTTTATCCTCTCGAATTTCTCCTCGACACATTCACAGCTTTGAGCAATGGCGTCGACAATATCTCTGAGTGCTCAACTGCCAAATCTCCGAGGGATTTCTGATTTGAAGAAGCGAAGTTAGTGCCATTCTTTAACTCTTTTTCTCTCTGAACTCTTTTTTTTTTTTTTTTGGTTGCCGAGACCGTAGGAAATTGAGTTTGGATTGTTTGCTGTATCTCTGTATAGAATTGGTTGCTTGGGACTTAGTTCTGTATTGCATATTATGTAGCTATTTCGTAACCACTCAATCGAACGGAGGGATCTAAGTTGGTGCAGGTGATTAGTATGGCGTTTAGACCTAAAATGGAACTGTCTGGCGGTGTCCTCAGTTCTTATTACTGGATGGGTTAGGTTCATTTCTATATAAGAATTATTAATTTTTCGTAGAATCGAAGTAAATTTGTGATAGATGAGTGGGGGAGATCCTCTTGATTTGAACTTGGAGGCAGATGGGTCCTGTGTACATTTTTTTTTTTTTTGTAAAGAACATGAAAGAAAAAGACTGTGATCTGGGAAATTAACTTGAAAACTATTTAATAAGTTTGGATAAGCCTCAAAACTTTCTAGTACTAGGGTTAACTGTAAGATTATCCACCTGAAAAACAGTTCATAGATAAGGAATGACATGAACCAGTCAAGTTTAGTTCTTAATTCGTAACCTAGACTGAAGCAGGTTGCATGTCTCATAATGCCAATGGCAGAACTGAACAAATCCCGTCTACTTCATTAGTAAATTTTAACAAGCTAGATATGTTTTGATTGACTTTCCAATTGTTGAAATGAGTATTTTATGTCAAAGAAAGTAGGAAGTCACTCCGAACGTGCGCGACAATTTTAGAATTTGGTGGTTTGTTTTTTATAATTTGAATGTAATACTTTGGAGTTTGGAGAATATAAATTTGTCTGCTGCTGCAAAGTCCTCGTTTATTTCCAAAATTTCATTCTGAAATTGGAGACGAAGACCACTTCTTGTGACATTTAACTATACTTATTAATGTAGAATTTGTTCTTTTCTGGCTGCCTCTTACAGGTAACCTAAATTCAATGTCAAATATAGTTGGTGCGCGGATCTCACCTTATGGCCCTTGGAAAGTTGAGAAAAATAGTAGATCTCTTTGTGTTTGTGGTCTATTTGGGGGAAAAAAGGAGAATGGGGAGAAGGATGATGCGCCTTCAAAGGTAGAAGTTTGATCCGCAATATGATTAAAACAGTATAAATTTTGATATCATGCTCAATAAATTTGTCATCTTCAGTAATTTAGAGACCAAACAGAAATGTCTTTCAAAGTCAGGGAACCGAAAGTGACTTTTCCTTGACCTGCTAACTTCTTTTAGGCAGGAATCTTTGGAAATATGCAGAATTTATATGAAACTGTGAGGACGGCGCAACAGGTTGTCCAAGTAGAGGCAGTGCGTGTACAAAAAGAACTTGCAGCGTAAGACTAAACAAGTTAAATACCTCTTGAAGATGTTTTTCTCTGTTTTATTATGATGCCTGAACATTTTTTTCCCTCTATGTTTCTGTTTTCCAGGGCAGAATTTGATGGCTACTGCGAAGGAGAGCTAATAAAGGTATGTTCCACCTTTTTCTCTTGCGCCAAGTTCATCTTCACCTTGACCATAACTATGTGATCGCAAAGGTTGTTAGTGAAGTGAACATGTGTTGAATTTTGCTTAAGATTGTAAAATATGTTTCCCCGTCTTGAGTTTAGGTAGCTAGTAAATATGAACAGATTCTGAAGTATTGACTTGTATTTATCATTATTGTATTTGTTTTAGGTGTTACTTAGAGAGATGAACACGTCTAGAGCTTGTGATTACCAATCTTTCTCTCTTGTTTTAAGATGATAAGTGGATCCAATTTCTTTATATTCAACCAGGTTGTTGTGGATTTAAAATCTCTTGGGGCCATCTCCCTGAGATGTTAATTGGTTCCATGCAAGGCCTAGCATAGCCATCTCATTTGATGAGAATTATTAAATTAGAGAATGGGTTCATATCCGGTTTGAATAACACCTCGTATCTGCCTAACAGTTTTCGTTCGACTAATTTAGGTGACATTATCCGGGAACCAGCAACCTCTTCGCACAGAGATCACTGAGGCTGCAATGAAATTAGGACCAGAAGTGAGTATGCACTCTAACATTTGAAATGGCATTGCTCCTAATAAGCATCTTTATATTGAACTAATATTTACATCCTCAAGTCACAACTTAATGCTGCACCACCTGTCCTGTCCTGATCCAAGCTCGGAGTATATCTTCTTCCATGTTGGTGCCCGGTGGAATTAGACCTCACAAGTTTGAAAATTGGCCGGCTTTAAGACTAAGGCCTACCCATTGCTAGCAGATATTGTCTTCTTTGGACTTTCCTTTTCAGATTTTCCCTCAAGATTTTTGAAACGTGTCTGCTAGGAAGAGGTTTCCACACCCATCAAAAGAATGTTTCGTTCTTCTCACAAACCAATGTGGGATCTCACATTTACACAGTAAAATAATAACTATTAAAATTTCTGATTGTGGTTAATGATGAACATTCCAAATATTCAGAGCTTTACTTTACTATGCAGAAACTTTCCCTTCTGGTTACTGAAGCATATCGGGATGCACATCAGAAGAGTGTTCAGGTAAGACCTGTTCCAATACGATTTTAGTTACCAAGTCTTATTTATGCAGAACTGACGATTGGTCCTTTGATTCTCAGGCCATGAAGCAAAGAATGAGTGATCTTGCTCAGAGCTTAGGCATGCCCCAGGGCCTCGGTGAGGGATTAAAGTAGACCGTTTATGTGCGTCGAGCATCAGTTTTGTAAACGCAGCGGCAGTGAGACGACTAATTGTAATCCGACTTCTGCAGCAAATTCCATATTGGTTTTTACTGGTGAACTAAATGTTTGGGAACCTTTTTCTCCATTTCTAAATGTAAAAAAGACAAGCTGTGATACTTACTGTGGTATCAAAGAATCGAAAGAATGAGATGAGAACGAGATTTCAAATTGGAATCTGCTATAGAAGTGATATCGACACTGGCATTTGGGTTTGCTCAAGGGAAAGACATTTGATTTCTTGAGAAGAAAAGGCTTAAAATTAATGGAAGAATGAGTGATCTCTTCCCTTGCGGATCATGACGTTACCACTTGGCCCTCGATGGGCAGCGGGGGATTCAGTATAGTAACTCACGTTCGGTTGCGCTGTGCGTTCTCGTTGGACATGTGTTAGCTGTAGGAAGTATGGTTCCGAAAGTGACTTTGTTTCGTCAATTCAGACCCAACTCCTCGTTTTATGTTAGCAGAGCTACAGGTTGGCCCGGGTACTACGCTCTTTCTTTCTATGTGGGATGATGCTAGGGAGAAGAGAGAATGCGTTGAGGCAGCGAACAACAAAACTACAACTCGGTTTTGGCTTTTTACTCCACGAGATGAGCCCAGTACATTGTACCGATGGATAAATAAAGAAATAAGAACTCTCTCGTCATTCTTTTAGAATTATGACTGAACTTGTTGGCTCGGCGTGCACCGAAAGTAGGTTACCTTCGTCGTCACCGTGACTTGGTACTCATTTTTGGCGATCTATTCCAATTTCCGTTTTAATTTTAAGTTATTAAAGATGAGCCCACGTCGGCCCATTCTAAGGGTTCAATCGATAAAAATACTGGGCCGTTCTTCTAAAGGCCCAATTCAGGAAGGACGATGGTCCACATAAAGCCCAAAACTTCCTTGCCCTTCCAATTTCCATTTTATTTATTTATTATTAACCAAACATTAGTCGGCATTTTGTTAAAAATCCGCCCATAGCCATGGAATTCGTTCTCATTCTTCTGTTTACTGTCACTGGATAACTATCCTTAACTGAAATCGAAGCTTCCTCGTTCTATTTCACAACAATTCCCAGCAAATACATCGATTTTCCTGTAAGTTCGTAGTTTTCTTCTTCTTCTTCTGTTGTCTTTCCATTCCCATTTCCTCTTACCCTTTTTTCCATTGCTTGTTCTTGCTGGAGTTCGAATTCTTTGTACTGGGTTTCAGTATGCGCTTCTTTTTTAGAGGTTTACTACGAATTTACTTTATAATTATTTCCAGCTGAAGCGGACGACTGGGGAATTATGAACTTTTTGTTTCCTGCCCTTGCCCACCATGTGTTTGATAATATTACCTTTTGTGGGTTTTTAATTATAACTATAGGTTCTTCGATTAGTTGCATATAATTTGCATAATTCAATTTGTTTTGTTGCTCCGATGATCTTATTGATGTTGGCTTAGGGTATGCTTTAAGATTTGTGCTACTTTGGGACTTCCTTTGTGTTTGAATGATTAATAGCTTAATCCAATCTGGAATAGCTCTTGAATTTGCTCAATAAGATCCTCCAGAGAGCCCATTAATCCTGCATTGCATGCCCTTTTAGTTGCATCGTCCTTCTGCTTCCCCTACCTTTCTATCCCTTCTACCATTCAATTCTTATTTTTAATCATTTTACATGTTTATAAATCTTATAGTTTGTAAGCAATATTTTTCAGCATTCCTAGTTTGTAAGCAAGTTTTTCTGGTTTCAGGATGGATTGTAGTTCTTGTAACTACTCTTTTAGTACTATTTCATCTTGTTCTGTTAAATGGATTGAATTTCCTTCAAAATTGGAGTCCCGGAGAATTTCCTTTCAGAAGAAGTCTGAATTTGTGAAGCCCTGTGTAGGCCCAGGTCTTAGTTTGCTGGGTTCTTTGCAGGTATGAATAATTTCTTATGTTTTCAATCTTTGCTCTAAGCTTCTGTGCCTTACCTTATTTTGAATTTTCTATTTTCTATTGTGATTTTCAGCATATTAGTAACTTTGACTTCAAAGCCGGATCCAAATCTATGATTTCATCCTGGAAAATTCCTTGTTCATATTCATTTGCTGTAAGATGTGATCATCCCCAAAATGCTGATTTTCCTCGGTACTATTCCAAGAAGGAGAAGAAGCCATTTCCAGTTCCCATTGTGGAGTTGAGAAGAGCTGCCAGGGAGAGGATGAAAAAGAGTCAAGGCCAGCCGAGAAAACCAGTACCACCTCCAAAGAATGGGTTGACAGTTAAGAGCATGATACCAATAGCCTACAATGTATTCAATGCAAGAATTACTTTGATCAACAATCTCAAGAAGCTCTTAAAGGTGGTACCTGTTCATGCTTGCGGGTAATTCTCGTTTTTAGTCTCAAATTGCTTGTCCTTCAAAGTAAATACATGCCACATTTGATGTTTGTGTATTGTGTTGAGGATTGTTGGGACTCTTCCCACAGTGGCTAATTAAGGAGATGATCATGGGTTTATAAGTAAGGGATACATCTCCATTGGTACGAGGCATTTTAGGGAAACCAAAAGTAAAGCCATGAGAGCTTATGCTCGAAGTGGACAATATCATACCATTGTGGAGAGTCGTGACTCCTAATAGTTTGACCCTTTGAAAGAATCTTCTTACCCTTTTAACTCGGAATATCAAACATGATCATGTTATTTCCAGTTCATCACTGTAAGATAAGATAGTTGTAAGTGTCATTACGTTGCAAGTAACTTCATTCATTTTTTGATAGGTAATCTTACTTTATGCAGTTATTTGTGATCCAAATAGCTTAAACAGAATTGATGGTTATTGCTGTTGGTCTGATTGAGATTATATTTTGCATTAAGCTGCTTGAAGACTGCTGGACTTCATATTTCGCTTACTTTCTAATGTGCCTCCTTTTATCAATATGATTTAACGTGTGCATAACAATTTAGCATAAAAATGAGTGATAAATTCTCGTATGATTGGTTGAAATAGACAATACTATTGAACGAACCACTGATATGAGGCACCATTAATCCTGTACACAAACATCTTTATCTCAGAAGTCAGACATCACTGCACTTAAGAAATCGTATGAATCTCATACTGAAAAAATAGCTTCCACTCCCATGTTCGGACTGATTTGATCATCATTGTAATCTAAGAGTCATGCTTGTTTGATGTGAGATATCCAACAACTTTCTTCCTCAAACAGAACTTCACAACCTTGTCTAAATGTGATGAAAGTTATGCAGATTTTGCAATGAAATCCATGTGGGACCTGTCGGACATCCATTCAAGTCATGCAGAGGGCCAAATGCCAATTTCCGGAAGGGGCTTCATGAATGGACAAAGGCAATTCTTGAAGACATATTCCTGCCAGTAGAAGCATACCACCTCTACGATCGTCTTGGGAAGCGTATCTCTCATCAGGAACGATACTCAATTCCTCGAATTCCTGCAGTGGTTGAGCTTTGCATTCAAGCGGGTGTCGATCTTCCTGAATATCCTGCAAAGAGGAGAAGGAAACCAATCATCCGCATCTCAAAAAGTGAATTCATTGACGCAGATGAAAGTGAACTACCAGATCCTGAACCAGAAGAACCTCTGAAACCTCTGCTCACAGAAATACCAGATTCTGATGTTGTTGCCCCAAGTGACAAAGAAGACATAGCTTGGCTTGCTGACCAAACGCTTCAAGCATGGGAGCAGATGAGGCAAGGAGCCAAAAGACTGATGAAGATGTATCCAGTGAGAGTATGTGGGTATTGTCCAGAGGTACATATTGGTGGCAGTGGGCACAAAGCACAGAACTGTGGAGCTTTCAAGCACCAACAACGAAACGGGCAACATGGTTGGCAAAGGGCCGTGCTCGACGACCTGATACCACCGAGATACGTTTGGCACATCCCAGACGTAAATGGCCCTCCATTGCAGAGGGAGCTTAGGAACTTTTACGGACAGGCGCCTGCTGTAGTTGAAATATGCATCCAAGCCGGCGCTGCTATCCCAGACAAGTACAAATCAACGATGCGAATGGACGTGGGGATTCCTTTGGACATTAAAGAAGCTGAAATGGTAGTTTGAGGTGTTTCCTTCTTGTTCTATAGTTAACCCCTTAAACATTGTTGTATACCTTCAAAATGAATATATGCTAGGTTTTGGCTTTATAGATGGTACTTCCTTCCATTTATAATAATATCAACTTACAGAAACAAGAAAAAGGGTTTGAAGAAAAATGATTTGCACATAAAGTTGTTTGTATTCTTCAAATTAACATAAACTGATTTCTTAGACTTTATTTAAGGAAAGAGTATGCAGAGAGTGAACCACATGATTTTTTGTTTCCTCCATTGTACTATCACAGAACATAACAAAGGGCCAATGAACAACAAGAAGTAATAAGAAGCCTGTACTAAAATAAAGATTCAAAGAAAAAGAAAAAAAATTGAAACAATTTCCAGGAGATGCTGTGTGTCTTCTTTAGCTATCTCACAGGGTGAGCCTTTTCTTCCTCTCCTTTTCTACTACATGAACAAAAACTTCCAAAATGTGTATATATATAACATTTCTCTGAGGAATCAATCGATTTTCACAGAGGAGTAGATGAGTCTTGTGAACAAGAAACATGCGTAGAATCCGATTGTACCAGTCAGCACAAAGAAAGCATATGAACCAATCAGCATATACCCGAAATACAACATCCCCGACACTGGCTTCGTTATCTCAAGCTTTGTGAAGAAGTAGAAGGCGGCATAGAAGAAGAGGTAGAGTGCAGAGGACCCTGAAGTCAGGTAAGATCTCCACCACCAGTGGTAGTCCTCGCTGCACAGTTGGAAGTAGCAGAGCACAATTGTGATTTCAGCGCAAGTGACTATCAGGATGAGGAACACAATGAAGAGGAAACCAAATATGTAGTAGAATTGGTGCAACCATATGGAGGTGAGGATGAAAAATAGCTCAATGAAGACTGCCCCAAAAGGGAGTATCCCTCCGATGAGAATGGAGAAACTAGGCTTCATGTACCAAGCTTGTTCTGGTATCTGTCTTGGGATCTTGTTAGTCTTCACAGGGTCCTCAATTGCTGGCTTCTTAAACCCAACATAGCCACCTACGAAGACGAGAGGAACCGAGATACAGAACCATAAGAATACCAGAGCAAACATGGTTCCAAATGGCACTGCTCCAGAGGATTTCTCCCCCCAGATTAAAGCATTCAAAACAAAGAAAATGGAGAATATAGTGGCAGGAAACACGAAAGCTGTTTTCACCATGATTTTCTTCCACTCTGTTCCCTTGAACATTCGATATAGACGAGCAGAAGAGTAGCCAGCAAAAAGGCCCATAAAGATCCAGAGTAGGAGCATGGCAGTCATTAAACCACCTCTGTTCGAAGGGGAGAGGAAACCAAGAGCAGCAAATACTATGGTGACAAGACTCATGCCAAAAAACTGAACACCTGTGCCGACGTACACGCAGAGTAAATCAGATTTTAATGGAGGCCTGAAAACATCACCATGGACAAGTTTCCAACCAGTCTCCTCTTGAGCTTCTTCTTGAGTCTCCAATTGATTATACTTAGAAATATCACGGTATAGGGTTCTCAACATAATCATGGCGACCATACCCGAGAGGAAAAGGACAATCATCAACGAATTAACTATAGAAAACCAGTGAATCTGATCATCAGCCATCAGAAGATAGGTATCCCACCTTGATGCCCATTTCACATCACTATCCTATAACATTCAATTAGTGAGAATGAATTAGAGAGGGGGGAATATAGCATGCACTAGACAACAAAGATGCAGATAAAATTCTATACAAGGGTTGTACGGCGACTGACCAAATACTCCACATCATAAGTAAAGATGATTTCATTATTCTCTTCAACTTCTTGAGGGGTCTCAGAGTTGGTGACCAGCCGTTTTGCATGCGGGTCGCACGTTGTCAAGCGGGTATTTTCATTCCAAGAATCTTCGTATGCATGCTTCACACTAATGATACAATATATCAACCAAATTATATAGCTTAACAATTTTGATCTAAAAGTGGGCTAGAAAAATGCTACTTAAGGCAAGAAAAGCAGTACGAGAACCTGAATGGTTTGACCTCAAATCCTACGATCCTTGACAACTCAGTTACAGGATCCTTGTGAATCTTGACCGTAAAGGACAAGTGGTTGTAGATAAAATGCTTTTCCTCTTTGCTCTGCAGAAAGTGAACACACATAGTTATTTATCCATCTAGATTACATGCATGAAGATGTCAAATTATCCACATTCTAAACGTATGATCATGTACCCCAGCATAATGTCCTCTGAGACCAACATGAAAGCCATGTTGATACACAACTGAAGATTCCTGATCATTCCTTTGTATGGGAAAAGCAAGAGGAAGATTGTCCAGAATCCTGCATATACGACAAGGGTAGTTACAAAAATAATCCATAAGTTAACATCAAAATCATATGTCTGGTCCTTGAAAAAGGATGCCTTACATGTTCACCCGATACTCGTCATCTATCTTTTCCTTAAAGTCCTTCGCCATTTTACCATCAAGAACTATGCGACACACAATAGTACACATCTTTGGTTCTCTCATTTTAAACTGTGATAGACAATAATAAATTCTCTTAGAAGTTAAATAGATAACAAAAACGAAAAAAAAAAAAAAGATCACTGAGAAGGTTGCTTATAGCATACCTCAAAAGGAGAGTTCTCTATACGATCACCACGAAGAACTTCTCCAAGATTCTCAGCGCTATCAAATATTTTCTTCGGACGACAATAAGGGAGGGAATAATAAGAGTATGGAAGCTGAGTCTTAATGGAAGTCAATTTGTTTACTTTTACCCTCAGAGGATCTCCCTGCAGCAGTAAAAGAATAAAAACACTTGAGCTGCATTTCATTACAATTCAACAGAAAACCAAGGAAACGCTTGAATTCTCATTTTATCCTACAACGAGCGGAGATTCAGCGCAAAACTGAAATGGAATCAAACATGAAATGCTCTCAGTAATTTGATAATTCCAACCCATTTCCAGTTCGGTACTCCCTAAAACTTCATTTCCAGTTCAAAAGATCAATCAGATAGGGTTACTTTCCAAATCCAAGACCTTTAGACACAAAAATGTCGAACAACCGACAAGCATTACCAGGGGAGAAATGAAATGCACCGAGAAAGAAACCTAAAAGAAAACGAATTCTCAAATTTTCAACCACCTTAATAGCAAGAAAAGCATCAACGCCCAATAATCACACGCAAACGCAAGATCTGGAACGCAAGAACCAAAAACAATGGCGAACACAGAGAAGAAAAGAAAAATCAATGCAACCTTGGTTGAATCAAAACGAGATGCGAATTCTACAAACCTTATGAAAATCCTGGGGAGCCACACCAGGAAGATAGAAACAGGAAGCACGGAAGGAAAGGAAGAGACATGCGGAGATCCAAAGCAGAAACACGAGAGGCCCTCTCGCCATGGCTTAGACAGGGGATCTAAACCCAACCAAGATCCAAAACTTGCTTCAACAATCTCTTCCCCCTCTTTCAGAGACTGTAAATCGCTGGTCTTCTTATGCTCTCTCGTTACCACCAGAAGAAGAAGACGAATGTAATTACTGTTCTTCGCCGAAGCCGAGTGTGTTATAGAAGACGGTGCAGCCATTGGCAAATCACAACCGTCCGATCATCTTTTGTGGCCAAAACGTGCGGCGTAGATTGCAATACCAACACATTGGTTCTGATTCATTTTCTGTTAAGCGCAAATTCACTCAAATTTTCTAACTTATTTCCAAAGAGAATGAGATGTATGATTCATTTTAACCGCCAAAATTAGCAACAAATTTATTTTCTTTTTCGTATTTTATTTAGATTTTTAATTATTTCAGATATAATTTTAAAAAACGTCCATCGTCCTGAACTTAAATTTCGTGTTTAACAAGCTCTTAAAATTTTAAGAACGTTTCATATATCTTAAACAGTTTCGTGTCTAATATGTTTCGTGTCATAGAGAAGGATAGATATTCCTCTCAGATAGAACCGAAGCCTCAATGGCTATAATCTGATAGATATTGGTAGCTAAAGAGACCAATTCTTGAAACAAATTCTTAATATGGAAGAACATTCGATACAACTTTGAGATTCTCAGAAGCAATTTTGAAGCAGTTCAAGTGTCATTTGAAGATTATCATACAGTGTAAAACAGTACAGAGAACTTGCTGATATAAACATCTTCTTCTAACACCAATGAACAGATCATTTGGAGCTTAAACAGGGAAAAATGGGAAATTCTGAGTTATGACAGATTGGTGATCAAGTGTTACTCTTGAGTTGTTGTTTCAAGCATTCTGACGGTACGAGGAAGCATGAATTCGGCAAACAAAGGGTAGTGAGACGACGGGTAGAACCCGTCGATATTATCATTCACCACTTCACACAGGACAGGGATCAAAGATCTACCTCTGAAAAGAATCCAATCTACATGTAGATCTTGAGTCTGGCGATCCCAGCAAAGGCAAAGCGCTCGTAGAATCAGCTTGAAAAACTCGAAAGCTCCCTGTTTGTCACCTGAAAAGAATCTGGCAGAGTCGGGCAAAGGCTGAACAAGCTCCTAAGAAAGTTTTGGCTAAGCTAAATTGCATACCTTTGAAACCATGATAGGTTCGAATGAGAGAAACGTTCTTCCTCGCCCGAGCGATTGCCCATGTATCTCTCATGTCCCCCACTGCACCCTTTTCTCTGCTAGCATGAAAGAGAAGCCACGGAACAATTTAGAGTTAGAATAAGTTTCATAACTGAATACAAAATCTACAATGATCTGTCAGCTGAGTAAGATCAATCAACTATGTGAGCTAATAAGGCTGATTAAGACAGAAAAAGTTCAAAGATAACCTATAGATTGGATTGAACACACTATCCAGGTCGATCAATACTAATTCGAATACACATTTTTTCGATTACCTCGATCTCCCAAGAAGAAAACGACCCGTAGTCGATTCCTTTTCCGTGTTGAAACCTCCACAATATATAACTGGCAAGCTAGGAGGTAAGGATGCAATGTGCTGCCATGTAAGCAAAGCACTTCGCCTACGAGCACGGGGGTTGAGCTCGTCCATGTTTGTGTTTACTATCTGAAACGAGAACCCAGGAGGCTCGACTCCTTTCAGTTGGAATGTGTGGGCATCATGTCAAGTTAACAAATAACTCAAGGTTCTCCATACAAAGTCAAAAGGATATGTTAAAATGCAATGTAAGAGAATTCTTAATAGAACTCAAGGATATCGCCCATGTCGCAATATGCGGAGCAATCGAACCCCACGACACGCTTCCTGGGACAGAAGGTGATTCCGACAACCAAAACGTGCCACCTTCTAACAGCTCTACCTTTTTAATTGAGGAATGAAATGCACACCAGGTTATCGAGCTTGAATTAAAACTGATACGAAATCAGAAAGGAAAATAATATGATACCTTCTCCTTGTCATAAAAGATTGTGCAGTGTTCATCTGAATCGTCATGGGATCCTTTTCTTGAAATTCCAAATTTCTCATAGCCTACAAGAGATTCAATACTCCAAATTACAGGCTAAGAATGTAATACAAATACAAAAACTAGAGACCTACGAAACTATCTATATCATTATAACAAGCCTACAAGTTCATACAAATAATCTCAGTAGAAGCGCATACCAGGCAAGCCCTGCTGAAGAAACTCCAACTGAGATTTCACACCTGAACTCATTAGGGATAAGAAATTAAGGAATCAGAGAGGCAAATTGTAAGAGCTCACTAATTTATTCTAAATCAAATGTATCGAACTCAATCACTGAATTTAGCCCCAAAAAAACGCTCCACTAAAATGTCCACACTACTAGAATTGGAGCAAACAACAATGGAGCTTCCGATCAAAATAACCCAGGCCATGCCTGTCAAAACTCCAACGAAATCCTATAGAACCAAAAACGCACCAAAAAATCTCGAATCGACGAAGACACAGATGAACTATTGCGACAAAATCCACCAAGGATCAAGATCCACAAGCATTCGCAGAATCAAATATGCAACACCATAAAATAGAGTAGAAGTGCAGTAGAAAACAAGCGACCTACCTTGCTGAGTGCAGAGAATCGCTGGAGAATAGCTAGTGAGGACACTGATACACAAATCCCTCCTCTTCTCCCATGAATTTGAACTCTCTGGTGGTTGATCGTCATGGAGATTGAAGGTCATTACAGTCAAAGTAACACTCATTTTTCTCCAGAATTTCCTCCTCAATCCCTACCTTTCCTTAATCATTGATTCTAAACCTAAAAAGGATCAGAATCAGCTATACCCTGTTGCCACATTCCATCCTTCTGGTACAGGTTGAGGAATCAGTAGTGGCTGAGCTTAGAGAGAGAGAGAGAGAGAGATCCTTGGTTAATTTGATCGTGTCCGAAGGGAGGGCACTGGGTTTTAACGAGGCACGTGAGAGTCCCACAATTCGATGCCCAGATCACGTGACCAATCTCGAAGATGAGTATTCTACCAACAAATAAAGTGATTATATATGATTGAAAATATTTAAAATAATATTTTACTTCAATTTTGAATAAATATTTGCAATTATTGAGACAAAGACACCATATCGAATTTTGACCATTAATAATAATAAAAATAACTTTATTTCAAATCATGGCAAGATTTTATAATTCATATAATTAAAAATATATATTAAAGAAATAAATATAATTTTACTTTTTTCTCCTTTTTATAAATTGAGATCATAGTGGAGCTCAACAACTTTTAGCTTACACAAGCAAAACTTTATGGAAACCACATTATATTGTGTTTATTAAAAAAATATGCTCTGATTTATTTACGAAATTTAATTAATTATTTTCCGTGAACTAGAAATTAAAATTTTATTTATAATTAATTACAAAGATGAACATTCATAACTAATAATAATAATAAATAAAAGTCCAAAATCCTGACTTCCACGTCAGGCATTGGCTTTTAGTGTACTGGAGGTAGTGCCAGCGTGGCACAGACCATTTTCTAAGATTCTCCTTCACTTCATTCCTATTTATGGCCAAGAAGTCAAAAGAGAATAATAATGTGTGAGATCTCACGTTGGTTGGGGAGTACAACAAACCACCATTTACAAGGGTGTGAAAACCTCTCCGTAGCAGACACGTTTTAAAACCTTGAAAGAAAGCCCGAAAGAGAAAGCCCAAAGAGGACAATATCTGCTAGCGGTGGATCTGGGGCGTTACAAATGGTATTAGAGCCAGACACTAAACGATGTGTCAGTCTTCTCGCTGTTCCCCGAAGGACACGAGACGGTGTGTCAGTAAGAATGCTGGGCCCCAATGGGGTGGATTTGGGGGCGGTCCCACATCAATTGTAGGAAAGAAAGAGTGCCAGTGTCCCTGGGCCTCGAAAGGGGTGGATTTTGATGTACCACATTAGTTGGGGAGGAGAACAAACTACCATTTACAAGGGTGTGCAAGCCTTCCCCTAACAGACACGTTTTAAAGCCTCAAGGGAAATTTATGAGGGTGTGAAAACCTTCCACTAATGGACCCGTTTTAAAGAGGACAATATTTGTTACATATAAAAAAAATTGATAATTCTGTTTCTTCTTATTAACCCAATCAATCCGGAAATATAGTCTCTCATTAATTAACTTGGGAGGGGGAAAAGGCTAGAATAGCTGAGGTAGGCTGCTGCTACCAGTTTCTTCTACGAACCAGAAAATGAAGTTGTTCCTGGAAGAGACAGACAGCCAGGAAATCATCATCCCCGTGCCAAATCAGGGAGGTGTATAATGAAACCAAATTTACACAACTGTTACATAAATGGCTAAGGGAAAGAGGGGATTGAGAAAGGGAAGACAAAAAGAAAGAAATAGCTCAACAGTAACCAAACCTGCTAATCAGATATTTCACATAGAGATACACAGCCATGAATGTTCATACCGAGTCGCACAGTTAGTTCAGCAAGGCTTGATTTCAAATCCGATGCTCAAAAGTGTTCGAGCAGATTCCATTGCCTTCTCACCTCCAAGCTCCAAGGCCTCACCAGTCAATTCTCCTTCAGCATCCACAGACCACTGTGTTGAAGAAATTTGGTTCTCGGTTAAGTCTGTTGTCTTCGGTTGCGTATTGCTCATGGAGGCTGGAGCTGCAGCAGCTACATGAGGAGCACTTGGTGGACTGTGTCGTTTCTTCGGTACAGGCATGTCGTGATCATGAACTCCCTTGTATGTTATAATCACTGCATATGGATTTTCTACTGCTGATTCGATGTGCTTACGGACTGGACACCCAGCAGAGGTACAACGGTAGTAGTTCCTTCATTAATTTTTTTTTAAAGATAAAATAACATCATCAAAATCAGACAATGCAAGGCATCAGAATATGATTTCGTAATATATTTGGCGGGATATATAAATTAATTGGAGAAGGAAAGACAGTCGGGAATATCCAAAGCTTATGCAGTCAGCATTAAAAAACTCTTATTTTCCATCAAACCAGCAGTGAGACATATGTAACTGTATAACATAAATAATGAAAAGGTATGCACCTGGGATGAGGACTTCCTTTCACCATTTTCTGACCATACTTGCGCCATCTGTATCCGTCGCCCGAGATCCCCACATCACCCGCTGCATGCACCACAAATTTCGGTTTCTTTCCAGGTTTTAAGGGAGTACCTGAATATCCCGCACTACTTTTCTTAACTCTAATTACCAGTAAGAAAACAAAACATTAGCACTACATCAGGCTTATATATGCTAAACATTATATGCAAAAAGTAGAAATAAGACAGAGCTCAGCAATTCAAGGTGCAGACTTACTTTTGTTTTGTCTCAGGTTCGCCGTCATTCTCATCTTTGATTTTAAATTCATCATTTCCATCAGAGTCACTCGAGTACTGTCGTTTCCTTACAAGGACTGAAGCTGTTTCCCGTGAAGGTTCTTTAGAAGGCGTGGGAGGATTTGAATCATTAATTACTCTTCTGGAATGTTCTGTAATGATTTGCTTAACTACAGGCTCAACATATGGCACAAGCTGTCTTTCCTTGGGGTTGCTAATCATCCTAGGTGGATCGTGGCTATGTTGGCTCCGGTAAACAATCTCTGTTCTATGGCCTGAGTGATCACAACATTCTATCTTCTTAGCACAGCATTCAGAATATGTACACTTGTAATAGCTACGCGAACCCTTAGGACTCTTCACTTGCTTCTGACCATATTTTCTCCAATTGTAACCATCAGAAGCAGGTGTCCTAACATTGGGAACCGATGATGCAGTTTTATGGTTGGAAGAATTTTTCTGGCTTGGCTCTGGCTTACATTCTTTCTGGACCTTCTTAGGTGACAGTTTATGTTTGGATAAACTTGGACTTGCGGAGGATGAGATAGACTGGGTAACAGAAGTTGGTGATTGTTCCGGATCAGGTCCTTTATATATTGACAACTGAAGCTGGCTTTGTTCTTGCACCTTATCTGTCTCGGTTGCTTCAACAGCCAAAGGCTCATGGCAGGAAGATGGAGATTGCTGCTTACGAGAATGAGGAAAAAAAATTAGCATACCAAGGCATCAAACCATCCATAAGGATCCTAGCTCTTAAGTTATTGTGATGTGCGGAATAACAAAAGTGCACTGATGTATTTAACATGTATCTAAAAGAAGTTAAAAGGCTCAGAGAACCGAAATAGGCCCAAGTAACTAACTCTCAAGTTGTTGCATCACAAACTCTAGCTCAGCAATTCTCTCACTTCCCGACTTATATATATTTTTTGGTAGGAAACAAACACCGTCAATGATTAATCATTAACTTTCCCCTCAAAAGAGCATCTTAAACTGCATCTTTGATCATTAACTTTCCATTCAAATGAACATCTTAAACTGCATCTTTGAGGGAGACAAATACCAGTTAATAAGCTTTGAAACAAGAACATTGGTCATATTCATAATCGACAAATATAAACAGAAAAATCAGAAAGTGGAAGTGCTTCAATAATATGGGAAAGATACCAAGAATATGACCAAAGATTCGTGTCTGCTTTGTATTTGATAACAAACGACAAGTATTAATATAATAGTTAGTTTGGCTGGAAACGGCAGCCTCTTAAATCATACATTTTTTTGTAAGGAAGATTGTAAAGAAAACACAGCTTCCTCTCTATAGGCTCTATAGCCAAAGGGCATAAAAAAAGCAAATGGTAGGTGGCCCACCAACCAAACAAAGTAGTTTTTTTTTGTTTTTTTTTTTTCTTGTTCATTGTGGCTAGAATTCTAGATTAGGTCAACTGTAGAAGAGTTATTAAGTTCTGAAAGGAGATGGTGAATAAAAGGAAGAAAATTGAAGCACAAAACTCTTCAAGTTCTGTGAAATGAGTCCTGAAGTAACCACAGTGTACAGAAAGAAGCTATATAAGGCTGAATTAATAAGGCCAAAAATATCATACCCAATCGTTTGCCTTCCAAATCTCAAATTTCACAATTCTAGGACAGCGCCATCTGATAATGCTAAAGTTATGAAATGTAATGCAACAAAGATGACAGAAGGAAAGTATCCTCCTCATGAATATAAAGTTCATTAAGTAGATTTTTTTTTTTTTTTTGTTCTGTTTCAAACCTGTTCAATGTTCAGGCAGTATCCTAAATGAAAATGCATCAAACAAGAAGCAAAACTCTCACATTTTGGAAGTCCAGTAAAAATGTCCATCGTTTTGCATCAGATATTATTGTGGAGCAACAAAATATTCACATGCCATCTTTTTTGACATTGATTTTGAACTAGGCTGCTCTTTCATGCATGATTCACAATAGATAATGAAGCTATTTACATGAATTAGGAACAAAAGTAAAGGACATTGCAAATACAATGTGTTTCAAATGAAAATTGCAAATACTCAAATCTTACTTCTTCCAATAAGAAATGAAAACCAGCATAATGTTTTGCACTAGAGAATCAAGATTCTATTTCTCTGAAGCAGAGATAACGAAGCAAGTCACAGAGAGACAATCTTAGTAGTACATGAGTTATTAGCAGATTGAGATGAGTTTTACTGACTGGCTGGACGCTGGAGCTTAACTTTAGAAAAATCGATTCAACTTCAAGAGGAGGGTAAACAAAGAGAAATGGAACATTTCTGCCTCTCATCACCTCTCTAATCTCATAAACAATATTCCTAAGCTGCGCATACTGAACAACTTCAATTTACCAGTTGAAATCTCACTACTGGACTTCGCAAACAATATCAAACCAACAAAACCGATACAAGCAAACAATTGAGAAAATAAAAGCTTATCGTGGAATTGATCGAGATCCTTACCTTGAATTCAGCTTCTTCGAGTGACTGCGCAGCAGAATCGACGGGCAAACCTGTAGGATGAACAAAAAAAAAAATCACA